GAAAAGGAAAAGGAAAAGGAAAAGGAAAAGGAAAAGGAAAAGGAAAAGGAAAAGGAAAAGGAAAAGGAAAGGAAAGCCCTACCATACAAAAGTACGAAAGTTGTTACCCCAAATATTGCTGTGACATAGTTGTTCTAAGCAGCAGTGGAAGTCTTTATTATAGAATAAACTATATTCTCTGGGATTGTTGCAAATTTATAGATTTATGACATTATAACAGTTGAATAATTTGTCCCATTTCATGTTACACTTCCATCTGCTGGGACACTTCAGCACAGCAGCATCCCCCCACACTATTATACTTTCATGTTTTCAAGCAGGGTACAGATTCAAGTTCATATATTCCTTCTACATAGAAACTAGTCTGTGAGGACTCGTCTTGAGGCTGTTATTCAGACTGAGCACCCAAAAGCTTTGCCTGGTACCCATTACAGAGGAGAGTTAGGAGCAGAGTAGCTGTTGTTGGACTTCCTGGAACAACTGGATTTGGCCAGCACACTTACATAACCTCAGCCTTGCGTCTTCTAATGGCAGGCATCTTCAAGAGCTGAAGTAACAGCAATAATTTCCCTTAGGGGCTTAAGCAGGTCACGAATTTCCTCCTGCAATGAGCAATAGTCAGTCTGAAGTGACAGACCCTGGCCCAGCATACTCTAATATGAACTGCTTCTGAGAGGAGAGGTTGCAGTGCAGCAGCCAGGTGCTGTGGGGAATTGGTAGTGAACAATGAAAAATACTTGGAAGGGCAAATACTCGTATCTTTTTCAGCACTTGGGAAAAGGGGCTGTTGAGACAAGGAGAGCTGCTCAGCCCAGCAACATTCCTCCCAGCTCTGCTTTCTGTCTGAAAGCTTTGAGAAGTGTATGGAAGAGCATCTAGCACTATCTAACAGCGAATTAGGTAGGGGTGCTTGCAGAAAAAGGATCAGGAGATGGGCTTTCATAATTGAAACAGAAAGATAAGGAAATATATACACAACAGAAGAGTGGCAGAAAGGGAGTTCTGAGAATAGGCTTAGGAGCCGGAGGCTCAAATTTGATTTCTCACATCTTGTTCTGTGGTTAAGTCACATCACTCATCTGTCTGATTTTTCTTATCTGTGTAATGGGGGACATATTACAGATCTCTGTTTAAGTGGAGGTCTGAGAATTAATAGATGCTGATAGAGTGCTTGGAAGATGAAAAATTCTGGGTATTACCACAGCAAATAGTAACCCCTTTGACTCATTTATGGTCTTATTAACACCAAATGCCTCTTTGGCTTCCTGTTATTTTAACTAAGCCTCCTTCTGATCCTATTAAACACCAGGGGGAAGTTCCTCAGCTAGTGTCAGTTGTCACAGCCCCATTGACTTCAATTATTTCTCTTGCACAACATATTTCATCCAAAGCACTTCAAGTATTTGAGAGATATTGGCCAATTAAGCATCACAAGCTCTACGGGAGGTACAGAGTCATACCACAGTTAGAGAAACTTAGAAAAGAAAGGTTAATCAACTTACCTAAGGTCAGGAAGAAAGCGTAGCAGAGATAAGAAAAATGGAGCAAGAGTTGTGCTTATAATTCTGGACATTGCCTTGGCCAGGTTTTGCTCTGTTTATCAGGGTGGATCTGAAACCACTGTTCCAAGCTCTGCCTTTTTCAGGTTCTTACTGGTATGAGACAGAGCAGGAACTCGCTTCCTTTTCACGCTCTCATACCCTTTCAGTTTCTATAATTCTCATTTTATTAGAGGCATCGTAGGAAAAAAATTATGGAGACTACATATATAAAGGCTGATTCCTCAGCTAGTATAAATTAGAAAGATTTCCCAAAGGCAATGAGAGTACGAGCGCATATACCTGAGGATCTGGTCCCAAGGGCTTATTTCTGACAGAGCAGGGCTATAAGATACCTACGGATTTTCAGCCTCCAGTCACTTAGGCACAGGCTTTCTGTAGCTGCGGGAAGCTAAACTGCCTACTGGTGATTGCTTTTTCAGTATATTGCAGGCTAGGACTTTATCAGAATATGTGCAAATGATTCTCAGTAAGCTGGTTTGTGCCCTTATGCCTGCTAAAAGTCCAAAATGGCTGCATCAAGTGGCAGTATTTAGAATAGCTCCAAGTGGAAATACTTCAAATATCCACAGTAATTCTGCTGTTTCTGAGATGGGAATTATGGGTTTTTTTCCGAGTGTGAGGAGTGTTTGTGCAACTTCAGCATTTTATTCTGCAAATTTAGATCCTCTTTCAGAGAAACTAGTGAATGCTGTGATAGTAGAGTTTGATGTATAAATAGCCAGCAGACGAACATGAGGAGAGGCAACGAATAACTCACAGATGGAAGAGTTCGAGATCAGTTGAGACATAATGGCAGAGCAGTAGTGCAGAGCTGAGGAGCAGTGCTTAGCTTGGTCAGCACTCAAAGAGAATCCACAAGTGCAGTTCTTAATTATATTTATAGATTTAAGTCCAAAATCAACTTTTTGTTTGTTTTTTTAAAAACACAAAACCAGCCAAAGCCACCCGCCCTCACCCTGTGAAATTTGCTGTTTTGATGCAGTGCTCATAGCACCCAGCTAGGAAATAATAATATGTTATTTGGTTTTTTAGTTTTTAAAAACTACAAACAAGTTGAAGAGGAAAGCCTGTCACAGTTATAACAAATTAATTGTATTTATAAGCTTAAGATCTTAATTTCCTGAAGCAGCTTTAAATGCAGATAGTGTGCTGTCTTTGGACACTGAGTTAAGACTAGTTGATATCAATATTCCAGCTAATTCTTATTTAGGTAAAGAGTAACTGAATGTGCTGTTTCCATACTTGGGAAAAAGCAACCCTATCTCTATAAAGCCCATGGAAACACTTATATTAAAGTAAATATATATAGATGTGTTTGTACACACATTTAAGTAAATGCTGGTCAAAACCAGATCTAAGGACTCATAGGAGCACTGGGAGAAGGGCTGAGGTGTGAGGAAAGGGAAGTAAGAGGATCCTCAGAAACTCAGAAACTCAGGGCAGCTCAGAAACTCAGATTGATTACCTATGTAATTCTCTTTCTGCTCCTCCACACACATGTACTTCAGAACTAGAACTAGTAGTTTTTTGAAAAAACACTGCCTAAAATCCTGAACATTTTTTTTTCTTCATCCTTATGCTAAGGTTTAACATTACCTTGGGCTAGACTTTCCTGACCTTGTCACCAAACATATCTTGATATAAAAACACTTGGTCAGGACTCTTACACTTACGAAAAGAGATGAAGCTATGAAAAGGATAAGGCTCCAGCCTTCAACTCCAAGCTGGAAAAACTGCTTTTTTACTTCTGCCACATAGAAAGCATGCTCCCTAGGAAAAGGAAAGGGAAATTCACACGCTTTAGGTCAGTAGCCACATATGAGCTATGTGTTTGGTCTTCAAGAGAACTTATATCAGGCATATGCTCCCTCTTGGAAATTTCTGTCACCTGTGCTCTCCCATTCCATTTTAGCCTAGATTTTTTCTATTGCCATGGGAAACAGAGGTCTTGACTGGGAGGAGAAGGGAAACCAGCATAAGAGAAATCTGGAAGTTGTCCTATATGCTTGATAAATCGAAAGAGTGTCTTGGAAAATGTTGCCTGTGTCATGGTTTGAGATTCCCAAAATCCAATTCCCCAATCCAAGCCCCCCTCCCACATCTCAACTTAATGTGGGATGATTCTTTCCAGACAAAACACACCAGACTCAAAGTGGGGTAAAGGGAATATATTACAATGACTGTACAAATAAATACTGTAATACATTATATACAACCTTAGCTATCTCTACCATGACATAAGTATTTACAATGGATCAGATCTCTTCTCCTCTCCAAATAAAAGTCCAGGAGGGAAGAAGGACAGATCCCTTCTTCAGAGCAGCAATGTCTCTAAGGCCGCAGGCTCTCTCTCTTCTTTTCTTGCAGCAGCTGATAGCTGGATCTCTGCCAGCACTCACGAGGGGGTATCGCCCTCGGCCCCTTGACGCAGGCAAAGGGGTCTTCCGTGGGCTATGTCACCCCAGACAAAGGTCGTTCCACCACGGTCATATCACGAGCCCAGGGGGTCTTTGTGACAGTCTGGTATCTTCAGGGAATTCAGATTCCTTGCAGAGCCTCTGTACTCTGCTTCAAGATGGCTGAGAGCTTCTTTGTAGCTTGCAGCAAGGGAGGGCCTCAAGGTCAACCTCCACACACTGTCCTGACTAAGCTCTCAGGACGACTGAGCTTCTTACCTCCTTTACTCCATCTAGGACTTCTAATCAGTAAGAGTCCACCACTCTGACTTAAGAGGGGGTCTCAAAGGAGTCTGGGGTCTTTTGGTTCAGTTCTTACCCCAACTCTCTCTGTAGAGCTAGTTCTGCTCTCATCTGCTGCTGTTGGCTGGCTCTCTCTTGGCTCTCTGTCTCATTCCAGGAGTCCTCTCTGCAGTGCATACCGTTTGCTGTTTAGTTCAGTTCTTATCTGTCCTGGCTCTCTGCCACCTTCTCCGGCCAGTGTTGCTTCTGCTGACGCTGTTGCTGCTCTGTCTCCGCTGCCCATGGTGGAGAAAACATCTCCCAGCATAACTACAGGCACCTAGCCCAGCTTTATGCTGTTCCAGGTCCCTGCAGCTCCCCCAGCCCGGGGCTGGGGGTGGCCCAGAGGCCCCAAGGGGCACAGAGCCCCTTTCCTTGTGGCAGTCAGAACATGGCTACCACTTCTATCAACCCCAGAACTACAACTCTTCTCTTCCATTTGGTTGTGATATGTTTATATTTTGCAGAAGCACTCATTGGACAAAACTTCAAGACTTCAAAAGTTACCACCCCTTGGGGTTACCACTTTCAACTCCAGGGGGAAAACCTGGTTCCAAACTACTACACCTGACTATTTGGAGGTGCTAACTGCTTAAGAAGGTAATGGTGTACCATGGAATGAGACAAGTCCCTGTCCTCCAAAAAGTGAGCACAGAGTGGCTTCAAGTGTTCCCCATCCCCAGCAAATGTGTAAAAGTGCCAGCATCTCTCCTAAGGGGAATAGAGCTAAGACCAAATACACATTAGAAAGTGCCAAATATTTTACTGTTAGGTGTAAAACCTGTTTCTATTGACAAGTGTGACAGTCTTTACTGGTCTCAGTTAACAGGACCCTAGGGACTTCCCGTTCACTGGAAGAATAAAAAAAACAAGAGAAAACATTTATGTACAAGCTAATACTTTTTGCTAGAGCTTGCACAATTTAGCTCAGACCGGCTACAGAACACTGAAAGACCAACTTTACTTTTACATGGCATTTTGGAAGTCTAAAAGCACTCCTTTTGCAAGTGTCTCAAAGACTTAGAACCACTTGGTTAGTTTGAATCCATAGGAATATATGAAGTGTATATGTATTGTGTGAGTAGATGGGGTCCTACTATCACAAGCCTGGTTGGGTTCTGAGAACACAAAAATAAGACATTTTTGACTGATTAAAGCCAGTGCAACATCACTTCCTCAGCTTCCCCTTGTACAGTCAATGCCTCAGAGTTAAGTCCTGTACTTATTCATGGAAATTCCCATATGAGACCTGACAGTCTTCCCATCCTCGAGACAATGAGAGTCACAGTCTTTCTAGTATTCCAGTTGTGGGCTTGTGCAGAGGTATCTCCCTAGGGGGATCCAGGATTGCTTCCAAAAAATACCATTCCTCCCCTTCTATATTTTGGGAAAGAGAGAGACATCAAGACTTGGGTGGCTTGCAGTGGGCTGCTGCCAGTTGAAGGGGGCCACTGTCTTGAAGTTACTGGCCTCCAATATCTCTCTGTAAAAATTGTAAGGATGCGCCCCTAAAAGAATTTCTGTATGATCATAGGCTCTATAGTAATTCAAGCGTTTTTTTCCTGGCAACATCCTGCTAGAAAGGCTATAGCTAAGGAAAGAACACTTTTCTTCTCCTAAAACAGTTATTTTAATCCTCAGTACTGTTACAGTGTTTTTACAGGTATCTATCTACCTATGCTTTAGGGTGTCTGTCTAGGTCCTTGCATAGAGAGCTTACAAGAGATTGGTGCTCTGGTTGGTCTCTCCAAAACCATGGTCTCTTGCATATCCCCATGCCCAGAAGAGGGTATTTAGGACTTCTGCTGATCATGGGTTGTTCCCTGGTGGATAGGAGTATCCTGTCCATCTTGTTCCTTTTTCAAGTCCTGTTATCAATGTCATACTTGATTAGGTATCAAAGCTTTTGAAAATACACACTGTATGTAGAAACAAGAGGATGTGATGTGAGGATTTGTGGGTCATGCTGCATGACCTGGTGCGGTATACAGAAGAGGCAAGCATTCTCTCCAAGGGTCATTTTCAGAGGAAATCTTTGGATCTCTCTGTTCAGGTAATATTTTTTTGGTCAGGGAGAAGGAATGCTATCGGAACTCTGTCACCTGGCTGGTTCAGTGTTACTTCTGGCATTTATGTAATATACAAATATGGTTCTCACTATCACATTTTCCAGCTCTAAAGAAATGTTAAAATGTATAAAAGTCATGATGTTATCATCATTTTTGATTATAGCATTAAACAGTGTATTAAACCATTCCCTTTGGTGTACAATTCATACCTCTTAGCCTGAAGGTGCATTTCTTATTAAAATGTCTCAGATCCACATATTGTGAAATAATATCCAATGAATTCTCTCTCTTTATTTATGTATTTAAAAGAAGTTGTTAAGGGATTTGGGGAAACAGATGAATTTACTGTCTGTAATAATGTAACATCATAAAAGGTACAGTGCTTATTATAAGAGTTATTTTCTAAGAGTTTTTTAGGCATTTCATTCAGATTGGTTTTGAAATGAACACTTTTCCAGATGGACTAAAAACTGTCTGAATGTCCCCAGGACAGCATGTTGAGTTGCACATAAGGGGACAGTAGAGTTGGAGGGTGATTTAGAAAAGATTGGGCTGCAAAATTTTTTTTTCTTCCAGTTAAAATAGCCAAGGTTTACAGAACTAGTAGTTTTGATTACCTCAGTTTAAATGACTTGAAACAGTTTTAAAACTGATTGCAGAGGGTGCTAGTCACTCTTTTCCTGAAACTCAGCTGCCTGTGAGCGTTCTCAGTTTAACACCCAAATATTGAGGTACCTAACACAAACTACAGTAACAAATCAGTCTGGCTGAACAGCTGCAGTGCTAATGTGGAAAGGGGTTAAATAATAGTCATCAGTTCTACTGTCAAGCTGGAAGAAACTGCAATCCCCAGGGGAAAAAACCGCAGACAATGAAAAATGTTCTGTGTTGGTGGATTTGCCTGAAGAGTTACTTGCAGAGCTTATATTAACAAGCTTATATCTTGCGCCACTGTAGGACACAGGTAGCCAATTAGCTGTACTGGGAGAGACCACCTTTCTTCTCGGTATAATTTTATCTGTAACTAAGAGATTTTCCTCAGAAAACCTACCTTGTCTACCTTTGCAGAGGTAGGCAAGGGGTGAATAATTCACCCAGCCAGAGCCATACAGGGTTAACTGCTTGTGTGAGCACTTCCATGATCAGCAGTGCCCAAACAGCTGAACTGCCTGCTTAGGGAATCATTGTGGATTTGTTCCCTGAGTATTTTTGCCCTGAATGATCTGGCCCTTACCAGGCATGTTTGCAGTATGGCAAATGGCTCATTTTTTTTTCTTCTTTTTTTTTTCCCATTCTATTTCCTTCTTTTAAAAATCACTTCTTTTTATTTAATTTAAAAGTTTAACAAAATAGGATTTTGGCCTGTAAAAGTCTAGACTTCTAGGATGTAGCTGACAGTCTCCTCGTCCCATTATCTGTTCTCTCTTTTTTTCTTTCACTTGCTGTTCTTTTTTGGCACTGAAAATGTAATCAAAGTCACTGAGGCCCCAATAGACCTCTACTTGTTGATTAAAATTGAATAAACTAGACGAATTCTGGTGGGAATTGAAGGCATTTATGATGACTACCTGGCATTTTTCTCTGCCCTTTTTTATGTACTTGTCACTGTATTTCCCCACATCAATCTCATAAAACATTCTTTTGCTCATGCTTGAAATACTGATATTATCCTACAGCAAAGATAAAAGCACATCACAGAGCAATATGGCTTGGTGATAGAATTATCTGCAGTACACAGAAATCTCTACTGATGTTTAGGGCTGGCATGGTATTAAACACATTACTTTTGCTGACAGGCATTTTCATTTCCTTGCATCATGCAGGTAGGGGAATTTGAAGGAAATCTAGTTTTCTGTTCTCGATTTGTTCAATAAAAAATGTAAAACAGAAATGCCAGTGGATATGGTAGCATCTCTTTAAATCAAAAGGAACTCACCGAAAGTCTAAGTTTCAGAGAAGGCTGTGTGTTTTTATGTGTTTATTATATGTTTGTGTGGCTGTATTTACAAAGCTATCTAAATATTTATATAAACAACACAAATATTTATATAAATATTTCTATAATCACAATATTTATATAAACAAATAGCTGTTCCCTATATAACAAATCTGAAAGAACTGGGGACAATCCAAAATCAAGCAGTTAAAAATTAGTGTCAGTGAATCTTATGCTTGTTTGGTCCTTATGATGTGATTTTTTGTAACATCTGTACTCATTATTTCTCCTGTATGACTTTCTCCCCATGCTGTGCACAGAAGAAAAAAAAAAAAAAAAGAGCTTCTGGAATAAGTTTGGGATCTGCTCTCAAATTGACGGCCTTGTACACAGGATGCCCACTTCAATTTTTTTGAAGTGGGTTGTGTAGTGAATGAGGAGAGGGATTCTTACAAGGGAGGGACACCTCTTTAGCAAAGCATTTTCTTCCTACCCCTCTTTCTTCCCCAGGGTCACACTATGGTGGTTACTAAGTTACTAAGATAATTTTTCCCTCAGGTCACCTCTGAATTTTGTGTTCCTTGTGCTCCAGTTCCTAACTTCAGATCCTATAGCTTGGATGGAAACAATATTGAGCCCTGAAAACAGGAATTAAGTCAGCACTTCAAAAGTGTAAGGTGCCATAAGGTGCTAAGCATTCTGTGTAATCAGAACTTGCAATCTGAATTTGCACATTCAGTACTGGTGGACATTTTGACTTAATTTCCCTGTTCCTGAACTCAACATTTGTAAAACGAGCCTATCACCTGAGAAAGGTGTTGTCCAAAATAATTAGATTTTCCAAAACAGCTCACTGATATCCTGAGTGGCACCACAGAAATGCCCCTGTGGAAATAAATTACTTTTCAGAGTAGGATTAGTATAGAATGCAGAAGTGGCCACAAATGAAGCAATGAAGATAAAACACAGGATCAAGTAAGAGCATCTTCAACGGCATTATTCTTTCTGTGCACTGAGTGAAAGTTCACATCAAAAAAGAGTAGTGTGGGATCGTGTAATTAGAGGACGTATAGAAACATACACACATGAAACTCAGGGACTGCTTTTATGCTCTATTTGTGCAGGAATTTATGTCTAGAAATCAACTAGAAATTAAAAATTAAAATGGTTTCCGTTGGTATCATGGGAGAGAATCTGATCAAGTGGCTGGGGCAGACTTAACCTCCACCCCTGTCAAAGGTCTATTTTGTCACTGCCTTGGTCTGTGAAGTTGGAGGTAATTAATGCTTCTTTTCTAGTAAATTCCTTTGGAATAGTTTGATACTATACATTGTCCAAATACAAAATATTCCTTTGTCATGCACGATATTTGTGTAGTTGTGGATTTTGGAACAGGATTTTTGTTTGTTTTCAGCGTTATGCATTCACTGTAGAATAAAACTGAGTGTTCTGCTGCTGTAATGAATAGGCCTAGAGCTGATCAGAGCATGCTGAGGTTTTTGTACACCTCTTGCTTTAGGGAGAATGGGTCTTCTGCAGTCTAGAAGGCAGTAGCTTTGGAGCACAAGAATGAAGTCTCTTCTCCTGCTACACAGCTGGGTATTCTGCATGAATCTGGCATAAATAAATATTTGGTTATATTCCGCTCAGTTTTCAGAAGTTTTGTAAATCCCTCATCAGTTATAGAAAAATTAGGGTTTGCTTGTTAATAATTTATGCCAGTATTTGTGTCTGCAATGGAATTTGTTAATAGGCCGAATAAGCGAGCATACAGAAAATGAGATATCACTGATATCGCATAATCAGGCAGTTTCCCCAAGAAAAGTATAATTTTACCTGAATATCTGGCACAACTGACACAAAAAAATTGTGCTGATCCCTAACCTTTGCTAGCAGTAGGCCTTCTCATTGCTAGTAGGCTTACTGTAACTTAGTGTAAGTACCCCTTGCTTGAGGACATAGTGGAGGTGAATTGTATGTGGGCTGCTGGGTTCACACTGGCCAGGGGTTCTTATAGCTCGTTTTGCAAGGGAACTGCTGAGGTTAGACTACATAGTTTTTTTTGTAATTTAGTTTTACCTGCTGGATATGACCTCAACTTTTTTCTCAGGTCTAAGGATTGACAGAAAAAAATCCCAACATTTTCCACTCATCAAAAGGTCAAAATGTTTGATCTGTTTAATTCCTAGAAGGTAAGAAAATACATGTAATTTTATAGAGCTCCTTTTAGAGCAGAAATACCAAAAGAAGGCCTGTTGCCACCATTTTTGGCTAGACTGGAACGTCCTGTCTTTTGAGTTCTGTGGGAGAAACAGTTACTCTTCTCAAGAAGCACTGAACCAATGTAAAAACTTTTAATCCTATCCAAAAAGAACAAGCCAGGTTATCTCCAGCCATCCCCTTGAACATGCCAGCCATTAAGCCAATATATGAATATATGAATATCTACATAGAAACACACCCCATAAGAGAAGGTTGATCCTTTGCAGTGAAGTTACATTACCTTTTACGTTACTGCTTGGTCTCAGTAATGTTCAGATCAGTGCTATTGAGTGTGTTTCTTTGTGTGGCAATTTACGTTGTGTGCAGGGCTCCGGGGCACAGCATGGGGCATCATAGGGCTGTAAGTTCTGCAAAGCCTCTGTGTACATCCATCATTTTCAAGGCAGCAGGGAAGCTCATTCTTTTTGCCAGGCTTTAGCTGTGGAGCTTGGATATGCCTCCCCCTTGGAGCTCCTGTTGGACTGCCACACAGGGAATATTCCGCATTCAGTGCATCCATTCTGCAGCTGCCTGGCAGAGCACCAAGCTTGCAAGAGGGCACAAGAGAAAGCATAACCCTGTTTAAAACTATTCAGGCTCATCAGCAGACTGTGGTATTGCAGAAGAGGAGAGGTGACACAGTTTCATGGTTTGTCCTTATGCAAATAAGGTGCCAGCAGCAAGAGTGAAAGGAACTATTTCCTAAAATTGAGAAATGCTGCAAGCAGCAAGGTAAAACAGTGGCGTTATGCATGTACTACTCATGTTCCTTGTCCCATTGCAGCTCATGAAACAGGGAGACAAGGAAGAAAAAAACAAAAGGGAAAGAGGCAGGAGAGGGGAGACCAAGGAAGTAAGTAAGATTCCCAGGAAGATGATTAGCTTTACGGAAGCTAAGACAATGCAAGGGAAAGCACTGTTGCCTACCGAAGTTTTACCTAGATGAGAAGGCTAATAACTAGCAGTGGGGTCAAAAAACAACTCTACTTTAGCTTTTCATTTTCTCACTCCAAAGGCAAATAAATGCATATTTAAATGATCACAGCAGTTAAAAACTGCTCCAGTGAAGTAACGTTCTGTTACATCTGCCTAGCAAACACCTGGGTTTGCTTCTGCAGAACAAGAGATTTTTAAATGTTCACTGATAAAGAATTCTGGTTGGTTTTTAAATGTGAAATGCTTTTTTATTGCTAGTGCATAATTTAATTTGAGGCCACTTGTGGTTGATGTGTGTCTAAAAATCTGATCTCCTGCAGGCACATGGTGTCATTGTATCTGCTCATTTAATTTTTCTGAAAAGAAATTTTCTATCTACTAGAGATTAAAGCAGCCCTGCACCCCACACTTTTCCTCTCTCCTTACCCAAATCCAAAAGAAAAAGGTAAATAAAAGAAACACTACTATATTAAAAAAAAAATAAATAAAAAATCACTCTTGTTCCATGTGAGGGGCCAGCTCTGAGATTTAAACTTCAGAGAATGGTAGTTTTACTACTCTGAGCTTCTGGATTCTTCCTGGAATGGAAAGACCCACATTTCTGCTTGGGAAAAGGCAAGACTGTGGAAGATGGTGAAAAAGGAGAATTACTTTTGTGAGACTTCATTTTTCCAATATAGAAGGTCTCTCTTGAGCTGGGTGTTGGAAGGAGGCTGAGAATGGGTCAGGTTGCAGTGGAATCACATGCAAAGGTAGCTTGCCAAAGGTTCCTTTGCAGCGTGTCCAAGGTTCCCCTCCTGTGATGTCAGGTCTCTTGAATTCGGTATCTGACTCCGCTCTTATGGGTTGAGTTATAGCAGTCCTGTAGATTATATGCCTTTCCTGTGTTCTTGTAGATTATACAATGACTTGAAGAGTTTTTTTGATTAAATACCATTGCATTTTGGGACCACACATCTCACTTGACAGTGGTGCAGGACAATGTAATGCATTAATTCAGTTCTGCTCCTACTGGTGCATAGTAACATCATCTTGCAGCATGTTTTGTTGAACAGGCTACATGATGTGATAATTTCTTTGAGCCCTATACTTGGCTGCAGAACAAAATGGGATGCTTCTCCTGACATCTTTCTGGTAAGACCAGAAATGCAATCTATAGTCCAGGCTTTTTACATGAGAACACCAAGGAATGAGCCAGACTGAGGAGACAGGAGTGACCTTTGGGATGATGAAATGACCATGGTTGGCTGTGCTAAAAGGAAAGCAGCTAAGGCCACTAAAGCACAGTTGGAATATGCAGTTCTTCCTAATTCTCTACTTTGTAGACTAGTCGGTGCTGTCTGCCCTCATCTGTTACCACACAGGTCCCATAATGACTGACCATATCACGCATCTTTCTCAGCATGCCATTTCTACCAGAGTCATATCTACATGAGCACCAGTGTGGAAGCTTGAGCTGTTACCACTCACCCCTTTTAAATGAAGTTGTTGTAGTGGCCCTGTTTGTGGCAGGTCTAATGTTTTGCCTCGGCACTGCCTTTTCCATGGTGGTGCTGCAGTTGCTGGGGTCAGAGCTCTTGAGGAATAGCCAGTCTTTAGGTTCATGCTAATAGAAAAGCAATGAATATGCTTCTAACGCATTTAAAAAAAAAAAAAGTGAGGGAGCATTTATGTTCTGTCACAGAGGGTCCCTTAGGTCTGCTAATGCCCTAGTTAGAAGAGTTTTCATCCTTGCATTTACCCAAGTATTTACCCTTCTTCCTGGCTTCCATGGTCAAAGCCATACCATGCACTATGGTGTGTAATGCTCCAGGAGAACACTAGGAGCTCTGCTGTGGATCCTTATATTTGGCTGACTCTGGAAATGGTGAAAGGCAGTGGTCTGCCTTTTTTAAAAAACATAAACGAAACCAAAAACAAACCCAAAACCCCTGACACCAAACCAGAAAAAGAAAAAAGAGCAATCTATTTTAGATATGGGAGAGAAAAACATTTGGAAAGCTTTTCACTTAACAAGGGTCTTCTGTGACATTTAGACGCATTTATACAAGTTAAAAAGGAATTTGGCACCTTCCCACCTCACTCATCAGGCTTAGAAGAGAGAAAGCAACTCAAAAGACAAGATTACTTGATATGTTCCTTTGTTTTGTTCACATAAAGTGTTGTGCCCGTTGATGCTGGCTGAGTACTATTACAGGCCACAAAGAGCCTTGACAGAGGAGTCATATTCAGTCACATCCAGGGCTTGCTTTCTAATGAGAAAAGATAATTATCGTGCCAATCTCTGATCGCCTTTTACAAGGCACATTTAATCTGAGGGAAGATAGGAGCATCTTTTGTCTTGTACAGACTTGAGAGCAAGGCCAGCAGGTGTAACAGAGTAATCACTCTGAAGGATTTGTTCATTATTTCCCAGAAAGAGGGGAAAAGTCTTCATTTCACTGTCTCTTCTGTTTTCACTGCTCTTGAGTTCAACTTGTGCAGTTTGATCGTGGTGGCCCCACTTCTCCAAGCACCTTATATCCTATCAAAAGCTCACTTGACAAGCATTTATTACTGGTTAGACAGCCGAGTAGTCTCCCTCCATTCCCTGCCCCTTTCTCTTTAGAAGAGAAAATTTGCACTGTGTTTTGATGGGAACCTGATGATGTGCTGTATGCTCTGAGGCACCTACTCCCTTGGCTGTAGAGCAGTGTGGCCAGGGGTGTATGCTTGCATACATTTTTGTACATTATAAAAAACCTCCACAAATGTGCATACTACCTATCTGGGTTCATATGCATGAGTGTGTGTGTGTGTCTTTTCTTTGAAACACTCAGATGCCCATTCCAGGGGAGTACAGAGATGAGCATATGCTCTGAGAGATGTTGACTTTTATATACTTGAGTGCACACGTCTACAAATGTATGGCTTCTGATTATATGGGAACTCCAAGACTACAGGGCCAGCTGTAACTTTGAGAATTGTCTTGAGAATTCTTTTGTGTCTTTTTCTTACTAGTAACAAATTAATGGAATTCCTGGTTTTTCACACTTCATAACATGGATTCACTGATCCTGTTTGCCAGGTGGTCTCACATTCACACCAGAGGGCTTGCCACTGGGTTAAGTGGCTCTGGGTAGCACTCTATAAATTGATTTTACCTCGGGGACAAAGGCAAAAAGAACTAGATGGTGAAATACAGCAGTTTTAGGGAATTGCATCTTTTAGGACAAGGTATTTGGAATCTCGAGCAACTTGGTCAGATATAGAAGCTTGGAAACAGCTCCAGCTAATGCATGAAGTGTAATTTCAATAGGATTTAATTAATTTTATCATCTTTTACATTCCAGTCAGTTCTTTTATAACATTTCAGTGGAGGTTTTTTCCAACATGACATAGGTTTCTGCAGTGGAGGTGCACACTGAATGTGAAGACAACTGGTGGGACAGTTGTGCTTTAGATGCTGGGGAAGTGAGTTATGAATGTTACCTGAATGTTACCTGGATTACTTCAAGATCAGTAATGGAAAAGTTGGTAGGATTCACTTGCTGGCTTAGCTATGAGCATTGCCAACTCATTGCAAGAAGTGGAAGGGTACAAACCTCACAAGCCTTCAGTTTTACAATACCTGCAGTTTTATAACTGCATTGGTTTATATATGGTTCAAGATCTTATCCTTGTATAATACTAGGTCAAGACCACTATATCTTGATCCCATAGTCCACTGAATAGCAATTTTTCTTGGATTGTAGCAAGGTCCAGCAATGTGGAAGAGAAACACTGACCTCTTTAGATTCATTCACAGTATCCCTGGCAACACGCATTTCTCTAAACACAGGATGAGAGACTAAAATCACACTATTGGCTCTGAGGGGAGAAAACTGTGAGTAAATCTTATTGATCCATATCCCAGTGTCCAGCTGCTGAAACAACTGTTGAAACAGGTGTGTCTAATTTTAGCTTTTGAAACAGTTGGGCAAAGTGTTGGCTGTGTTTCAGTAACTTTTGCTTAAAGAGAAGGCAGGTGGCATTCTCTGAGCATGCTGCTATTGAATTAGAGAGACCTATTAATATCAGTGAGTCAACTTAACTTAATTCTCTCAACCTGCTAATGAGCATTTTGGAAAGGATTGGAGAAGAATGACAGGGTACCCTGAATAAACCAAAAGGGAAAGAGATTGCAGTGTGTGTGTTCTAGCAACAGCAATTTAATCAGTTTAGATGCATCTGTGCTACCTGTCACTTTGCTGGCTGTTTGTATTTCTTTTGTCTGGGTGACCTGAGGCATGTATGTCCTAGATGTATTTTTTGAATGAAGGCGTACTCCATTGAAGTAAAGATTACACGTGAACATGAATAGACTGGCATGTGTGTGAGAGAATTTTAAAAAAGCCAACAACAAACCTGCTCTGAGTGATTTGTGGGTTTTGTTGCAAAATCAATTATTCAAAATTGAGGTGTGCTGGAAAATCATGTAACATCTTCCCCTTTCTGCATTCCTTTCAGTCTTTTAATTACAGGATCAGGATCATGTTATTGTGGACTCCCTATTTGTTAGTGAGACAGAAACAATCATCAAGTGAAACACATTTGTATAATTAGAAAATTCTGTAGTTTGGGAACCCCCTCTTTTAATTGAAATAAAAGTTAAGGTGTCTATTGAATAATGAAGAGGGGATTAGTAATTAAAGAACTCAAATGCCCCGAGTTGTGTTCCTAGCTTTGCAGCAGGGTTCTAGAGTGATACATTTTTCATAAAAACAGTATGTTATAGAAGTGAGTGCAGAAATAATTGATTGTTATCAGTGTATAATTTTATATTGATTTCTTTGTGTACCTGAGAACAATGGCTTTGAAAGCTGGTCACTATGTGTAGTGGACTGTGAATGCCTCTCAGAAAAAAAAACCTGTTGGAAAGAAGAAGAGGGGGTAGAGAGAAGATATTTTAAAAATGAGGCATTTTGTCATGTTCTTTAGCAGCATCTGATTGTGCTAAGGAGGGTATAAGTAGTATCTAGCTCCTCCAGATGTCAGCTATTTAGAGAGACACACACCAGAAGTTCTGTGGACAACAAATGATTGAATCCCACACAGGATGCTCTTCTTGGCAAGAGAAGAAATGGGAGTGAGTGGGTGAGCCTGTGTGTGCTACTGTGCAGGATGGGATGAGCAATTACAAAAATGGGAGATAAGGAGAAAAATGAAGATGGATGAAGGTAAAAATACCTGCTAAATGCCACTGTCCTACTTGGATGGTGTGGAATTGTTGCCTGGTTGTCTCAGTGCTTTGTCTAGTCTGATTTTAACTCTATAGACTATTTTACCATGACTTAGGTAACCTAAGCTATGAAAAACTCTGTACAAACATCTAGATATGTATTATTTTCAGTCTGTAACTAGCGACCTAAGAAAACCCAATAATGAGAGTGATTTGTTGCAATACAGCTTGCTGGGGAAAAAAACCCAACCCAAACCAAAATTATTAGATCATCCTCTGTTGAAAGCAGAAGCTTTTCATAGTTTTATTTCTTTAGATGAAAATTTTGTTAATAAGTTCTTTAAAGCTCAGTAGTATTTCTGGGGATGGGTAAAAGAGTTTCACAGAACCCACAAATAATGAGATGGCTTTGGGGCTTCCCTCAGAGGCCTCAACAGAAGTTGGAAACACGCTGTCATACTAGTTTTGAAATTTACTTTTGTGTAATATCTTCCTCCTACCTCAAACTGTGTTAGATAATTTATTTCTCTCTCTTATGCGATTTCTATTCAGTGGTTGACTGTGA